AAAATTGGGAGCGGATAAGATGAGACCGGTTAATATTGAAGTCGGGAATTTCCCGGTATTATAAAGGCGAAATAAAATAATTATTTTTTTTTCGGGAAATATATAATATATAATTTTTTATTTTTATCAAAAAATATGAAGAAAAGGAATTAGAAGGAAATTCTTCAGATCGAAAGCAAAATATTCCATTTAATATATAAACAAAATTAGGTCTAAAAATATAAATATGACATTATAAATTTACTACCAATGTTCCAGCAAAGTTCCCGGTATCTCCCATCACATTAATTCGATAAAAATTGCCAATTTTCCTACTAATTTTATATATATTCAGTATAGTTCGTTATGGTACCGTCACGATCTCATTATATTAACTTAGGATAACGAAATATAATATTTCCCAAAAATATTAATCAATATCATACTAAATAAAAGGACCAAATAACCCCACATGTCAACTTCCTCCAAAAATAAGAAAAAAATATTGTTACGGGGAAGAAACCAAAAACAAAAGAAAAGGTAAAGGAAAGATGGTACAAGACAAAATTGTTTATATAAAAGATAGTATATAATAAAAATGGTGTGGTAAAAGACAAAAAAGAGAAAATTGTATGCGAAACTTTCAAAAATCGTATATGACAAAGTTGTGTGTAAAAGATGGTATGTAAAAAATGGTTTGTGACAGTATGTGAAAGATGGTGTATATATCAAAGATATGGTGTCAAAGATGGTATGTGACAAAGGTGTGTGTAAAAGATATGTAAAAAATAGTATGTGACAAAGTTGTGTATAAAAGATAGTGTGTCAAAGATGGTGTTTAAAAGATGGTATTGATGGTATGTGATAAAGTGCTGATAAAGATGGTGTGTTATAGATGGCGTGTGAAAGATGGTATACGACAAAGTCGTGTGTAAAAGATAGTATGTGATAAAGTAGTGTGTAAAAGATGGTAAAGTTATGTGTGAAGTGTGAAAAAAATGTAAAAGATGGTATGTAACAAAGTAGTGTGTAAAAAAAAGTGTGTGACAAGTAGTTTGTGTAAGATGGTGTGAGCGATTAGGAAAACCCTAGGTTTACGAAAAGGACATCCACAAATTTAGGAAGGTCCCATCGTTTACCACACATTTGTATAATAATATATAGTAAATTTGGGAAGTATCGCTTACAGGAAACTACTGCATTTATATATATATATAATGAACTATGAATAATATGTGATATTTAGGAATCGCTAATATAGATATTAAAGAAATATGATGACATAACCTTCAAAAGGGGTATCGCTAATTTGGGAAAGTCCCATCGATAAAGTTGTGTAAAAGATGGTGTGGGACAAAGTGGTGTGAAAAATAGTGTATCAAAAATGATGTGGAGGCTCTGTATACTGCGCCTGCCACGCCAAAGGCAGCCGCGGGCCAGCGGCGGCCACGCGCGCCGCAGCTCCTCCAGGAGGCTCTGTGTACTGCGCTTGCCACGCAAAAGGTACTGCGCCTGCCACGCAAAAGGCAGCCGCGGGCCAGCGGCGGCCACGCGCGCCGCAGCTCCTCCAGGAAGCTTTGTGTACTGCGCCTGCCACGCAAAAGGCAGCCGCTGGCCAGCGGCGGCCACGCGCGCCGCAGCTCCGCCAGGAAGCTCTGTGTACTGCGCCTGCCACGCAAAAGGCGGTCGCGGGCCAGCGGCGGCCACACGCGCCGCAGCTCCGCCAGGAGGCTCTGTGTATTGCGCCTGCCACGCAAATGCAGCTCCTCCAGGAAGCTCTGTTTACTGCCACGCAGAAAGGCAGCCGCGGGCCAGCGGCGGCCACGCGCGCCGCCGCAGCTCCTCCAGGAAGCACTGTGTACTGCGGCCGCGGGCCCAGCAGCGGCCACGCGCGCCGCAGCTCCTCCAGGAAGCTCTGCGTACTGCGCCTGCCACGCAAAAGGCACGCGGGCCAGCGGCGGCCACGCGCGCCGTATTGCGCCTGCCACGCAAAAGGCGCCTGCCACGCAAAAGGCAGCCGCGGGCCAGCGGCGGCCACGCGCGCCGCAGCTCCGCCAGGAGGCTCTGTGCACTGCGCCTGCCACACGAAAGGCAGCCAGGAAGCTATCTGTACAGTGAGTGAGTGAATGAGTGAGTCAGTGAGCGAGTGAGTGAATGAGTGAGTGAGCGAATGAATGAGTGAGTGAGTGAGTAAGTGAGTGAGTGTGTGTGAGTGAGTGAGCGAGTGTGAGTGAGGTGAGGTGAGGTGAGGTGAGGTGAGGTGAGGTGAGTGAGTGAGGCGGCGCGGCGGCGGACGGAGGAGAGCGGCGGGATCCAAGCGAAAAACAAGAACCCCACACAGTGATGTGGGGAAAAATCAAAACACATAAAAAAAAACACTTTGATATCAATTCGTTAAAATCCAGTATATATAGGCTCGTTCGTCCCTGCTCCTGGAACCATATACGATGGGGTGGGGGGGTGGGGGGGGATGTTAACGTTCATTGATAATGGGGTGGGGGGGTGGGGTGGGATGTTAACGTTCATGTGAATTAACGTGGGATGTTAACGTTCATGTGAATTAACGTTCATGTGAACTTGCACAAGCAGTTGATGCTACGCACACGCGGGGTGGGGGGGGATGGGGAGGGATGTTAACGTTCATGTGAACTTGCAGAAGCAGTTGATGCTACGCACACGCGGGGTGGGGTGGGGGGGGATGGGGTGGGATGTTGACGTTCATGTGAACTTGCAGAAGCAGTTGATGCACGCACACGCGGGGTGGGGGGGTGGGGTGGGATGTTAACGTTCATGTGAACTTGCAGAAGTAGTGCAAGACTTGCAGCTGCTGTGAAGAGACAGAAAAACAAAACTGGTCTCACATGTTTCTCGGACGATCCTCAAACACCGTGTTCATGTTCATACTAATGCTGATGATGATGATGATGATGCTGATGATGATGATGATTATGATGATGTGATGATGATGATGATGATGATGATGATGACCCTAATGAAACTTGTCAATTCCGCGACTAAATTTCGTCACGGAATGCACAAGTTTTACCAACCTAATTCAGGTTTGCGCGGTTCCAAGAGCAGGGACGAGGCTATATATACAACTGTTTTACAATGGGGGTAGTTAAAAATATCCTACGAAAAGCCGCCAAAAAAAGGGCAACCAAAGCCAATGTAAAAATCAGTAATTCGAATACTGTTAAATTTGGGCCTATAATTACAATTCGATTTTTACTCATTAAATTTAACATAAAATTATAAAACTGTTCAATGGGATATATGTACCTAAATTGTTATAAACATATAATAAATCGGGATAGTATTTTACGGTAATGCGGGTACTTTCTTTGTGGGTAGTCGTATCCTTGGTAGTTTGGAAGTTCTGGGTATGTTGATAATTTGGGTTATATTTAGTTTTAAATATCAAATAAATAAGTTTAATGGTTTCCTATCTCGATATTAAAAAATATTTGATATTGACTAATACCATTGCAGTACCAGCCAATGACCTCTGAATATTATATATAATATCGAAAAATTGTCAATATTAGTTAATTGAAAAATGTGATTGCTCGAATGATTCCCATCCTAAAACACTATTCTGACATAGTTTCTGGCATATTATCTGGAAGTAAATGACATATTTATTCAAAGATTCTATCTGACATTCCTTCTGGCATCTATTTTGTCATTGCATCAGGCATTCTATCTGCATCTATTCTGACATGCTTTCTGGCATATATTCTGACATTCTCTCTGGCATCCCATAAAGCATTTTCTGACATTCATTCTATCTGGCGTCTGGTCGCGATGTGCCCACTGCTGTCTCGAGCTCGCGGTTGAGGAGCTGGAGGACGAGGAGAAGGAGAAGGAGAAGGAGCTGTGATAAAATCTAGAAACCCTCACTTGGCAGGTGGGGAACAATCAATTCGGCCTCTTGGAAAAAGTTTTTGTCCAAATAATTTTGAACTATACAACAAATTATAATCATAAGTGACCCGTGCGGTGTCTATGCAATCACACAACACAAGATCTTGGAATTATCACTAAGAATGTATTTATTGGATCTTTTCGGCGCTGGTAAATGATCAAATTGTCTCGAAATCCAGGCCTCAAAATAGGTCAAAATTGTGTGGATGCCATGTGTATTTGAAGCGCAGTGGAACGTGGCTACACCGGCTTGAAACTGAAGTTGCATCGCTGACACTTATTCCCACAGAATATTCATATAGTCAATTTGGAGCAACTTGGAAAATCACGGAACGTGTTTGATACTAGCCTGCGACTTCATCGAAAATGGCAATAGGGACTGATGCTTCAACCGGTTAAACCTCTAAATTCTCTTGGTCAAATCATTAAATCATTAAAGATCAATGGCGCGAGCCATCCAATTAAATCATTATATAATTATATGGTTCTCCCTGATCCCTGTTTCTGTTGATTGATGAAGATGAAGTATGATGAAATCTAGCATTCAAGACAGATTCAAGACAGACCTTGCAACCAGTTAGGGGTTAGAAGATTAATTTCAAAATTGGCAATTTCCAGGTTGAACTTTTAAATTTACTGGAGGATAAATGGCTAATCCCTTAAATTCTTTCAAAAAATCTCGGTTTTCCGGCAATTTGGCTGCTTTTTCACACGTTGAAACCACCATGTTCCTGATGAAAATCACCATCTTCAATAGACAAATCATGATCAATCCCCGGTAAAATAGTAACAATATGTGGCCAAGTCACCAGCGAAGAATCTGCCAGCTCTTCACCGCCTCCCAATTGCAGTCGATGCACTCCAGGAGGCTACAGCCTAGCCATTGATATTCATTTGTTGGGATCGATAGGGATTATATAAGAGGGAATAATAATAGGGATTAATATGCAATGTAAAAGGAATTAATGGAAAAGCATGGAAAATTATCCAAACAAAACAAGGATGATCAACTTCTATAGCTAATATCAGTATAGTAATGGGATTTAATGGGGTTTAGAAACAAACTTTGAACTTTCATGAGGTTACCCTCCAGTAATCAAATGTGGCTGGCTGGGAATTTCTGTGTAAATGCAGATTTAAAGCTTGGGCATTCATCTATAAATGGTGGATTTTTCATTGCCATGTTTGATTACACTTCTCTAACTAGACTATAGTCGTAATATTATAACTAGCATCAATACCAGATATCCTAGCCATGAACCAACTTAGCTATCGATTGCGGGGCCCCACATTGTACGACCAATGGAGATTGGAACCCAAGAAATTGTAGGGACATATAGGGGATATTGATGGACGATGGGGATAATATATACAATGGGGACAGTAAATTGAGAATGGGATAGCCATAATTGATGCTGTTTGGATATCATTCACCTACACATGAATAGTAGGATTTTGATTTTGCCATCAACCGTGGGGTGGGGATACAGAGGATTAACCCTCAAAGAATTCGATCTAACCTGCAAGAATTGGAATTTTAAGCAGCCAGCTTATGGAAATCCATATGGCCAGGCCTGATCTACAAATGATGGATGTCCCCCATCCATGGCAGATTTGAAAAAGTACAAGGCCAGTTTGCAAACAGGATGGGATTGGATACCATTTTTCAACTCAAAACTTGTTTCATTTCCATCTGACATTGTGGTTCAAAGTAGCGATGGTGGCTTGCTGCTTCATTTGCCTTCAACAATAGCAGTCATTGGACATCATTCATCCCAGCAGAGCATGAAGATCCACATATGTGGGTTTCCTAAGTCATGGGGGTATCTCAAAATGGATGCTTTTGAATGGAAAATCATCTTAAAATAGATGATTTGGGTTACCCCATGGTTACCCCTATCTTGGGGAACCTCCATACCTGACATATTTTTAAGAAATCATTCAGCTGCCCATCCACGGGGCTGAAACAGTTGAACCAAATGGGCTTTAGACACCAGCTGGACCAATTTTCATGGAGTTAAAATCCGGTCATCAAAACGAACTTACCAAGTTATAAGTTGATGATAGCTGAACATAGTTGAACCACATCAAAGCAACCAACATGGCTGGTCAACCCAAAAAAAATGAAACCAGTCGCCATCGCCTCCGGTAAGGCCCATATCTTCATCGTCGGCCTCCCCAAGGCTTGGAATGTCAGCCCATCCCGATTTATATTGTAAAAGGAGTCAACAACGTTTTCATCTAACATATTAGCCCATTGAGCTAGCAAAGGCAAAACCCATCACAAACCGTCAAAAACCAATGCTTTACCTACGGAAAAATGCCAAAAACCAATCGATGTTTGTTTTTCAAAACACTTAAGGACACATAATGCTAATAGAAACTTACCCTCTGGTTATTCCACATAGCTATGTATAGATGGCCCATTTATAGATGATGATGATTATTGATGATTTACCTATTAATAGCATGACGATGTCCCAGTTCGCAAACCGTTCAATCACCAGAGGCTAAGTTCATTGAGATTCACTTGGTTTTGTTTCACAACAGGCTACGTGGTTTCAACCTACCATTGGTTGGTAATATACTGCTAATATATGGTTAATATTATATGGTTATTATGTGGTTAATGATGGTGAATAATAATCTGGTTGGTGGTTTCAACCTACCCTCAAAAATGATGGACTTCGTCAGTTGGGATGATGACATTCCCAACTATTATGCAAAGTCATACATTCCCAACTATTATGCAAAGTCATAAAAATCCATGGTTCCAAACCACCAACCAGACAGGCTTTTGGGCCGTCCGCACCCCTTCACCAACGTAGATGAGGACATGTCCCGGCCAGGAGCGGAGCAAATCCTCGCCTGGAGCAGTGGATGGTTGCTTTGCACCAGGCAGGGTACCCTCTGGTAAACTAACATGGGAAAATCATGGAAAATCACCCTTTTTAATGGGCAATTCCACTATAAATGGTCATTTTCAATAGCTATTTTAATTACCAGATGGTACCTTCGGGGAATACCCTCTGGTAAACTAACAGTTTGCTATTGAACATGGCCATTTATAGTTGATTTACCCATTAATAGCATGGTGATTTTCCATCGTTTTTTGTATGTTTCCCAGCCAGGGTAACTATTCGGTGACGATGAACCACTGTAAACAATGTGATTATGATGAGATACACCCTGTTGTTAAAAACTATAGGGATATGATGATATTGATATTAACCCCAATGATGGGAACAATAGTTGACCCCAATGATTTTATATGATGATATATTATATATATGTGCATATGGAATATCCTCATATTTTGAAAAACATCATGAATTTTGACCAAATTAATTAGTTGATGGTCCAATGATGATAGGTAGCCCCCAATAGGGGAACAAGAAACTAATCCTTTGTCATTGGAAAATAAATAGATGATATAAATCTCCATTGGGAACATGATGATATTCCATCAAGGGGTTGGATCATCCACCAATGAGATCCGCTGATGCTGTTATATGGGGGTAAACCCATGGAACCTCCAAACCACGAAACGTCGATTTATGTGATATATATATATATGTATGTATGTATGCATGTATGTATGGCCTCAATCCATCAAGAAACATTCCTTAAGGATGTTTCAGTTTCAGCATGATTTAAATTTTTCTTAGAGAACCATCGCCATCAACGCATCAACGCCTCAACCGTGCCGCGCCTATGGTCTCGGGGCTGTGCGGTGGCCAGCTCAAGAAAAGAGCCCACCTGCAACCGCGGCACGGCTATATTGTGTATGTATGTGTAAATAATTTTTCTTTCGCAGATCATGATAACTACTAAATTATACGTAGTATAACAAGTGCAACTATCTTAACTATGCCAACTACTGTACTGGTTATAGCTATTGTAGCTAGTAAGTAACTTAGCTAATAACTAATATACTATATAACATCTATAACATACTATAAGTGCTCTAACATAGACCCGGGCAAGCCGGCGGCGGAAGTTTCCCAAAAATAAATGACCTATAGTTCGAAGACAACCTGTCCCGACCGTGTCCTTCCCTCGACAAGCGGTTTTTTTTCCAGCGAGAGACAAAGCAAAGTCTTCACACTCCACACTCCACACTTCACACTGCAAACTTCAAACTTCACACTCCACACTTCACACTTCACAGTCCACACTTCACACTTCTCACTTCTCACTGCTTCCTTCACACTCCAAACCTCACACTTCACACTTCACACTGCGCTCTTCGCACTCCAAACTTAAACTTCACACTCCACAATCCACACTTCACACTCCACACTTCTCACTTCCCACTGCTTCCTTCACACTTTACACTTCACACTGCACTCTTCACGCCCCACGCTTCACACTGCTCTAAACCTACGTGCAACAAAGAAAACACTAGTGCCAAAATCGAGAAAATCTGCTAACAAATCCATTTCGCAGCCTTCATGCAGCCACTCCAAGACGATTTCCGAGATCCAGCTGCAAAAGACAATAGTATTACGAATGCAGCCACAGGACGAAGCAACCTTGACGCAGCCATTACAATGCGATCTGCAGAGACTGAGTTGCAAAACACAATGGAACTACGCGCAACGGCGTCGGAAATTGTAGCTCCAAAACCACTTGCAATGCCATTTGCATTGCGGGAACGATCCTACAGTTGCAAAGCACAATGGAATTCCATCGGCAACTCATCCACCAGCACCACTTGCAATCCCATTTACATTGCGGGAACGATCCTACAGTTGCAAATCACAATGGAATTCTGTTGACCGCACATGCAAGAAAAACAGGTGAAACCCCATTTACAATGCGGAACCGATCCGACCATGATCCGACCATGATCCGCCCATGATCCGACCACACACGAGACCGTCTCGCAACTGTCGCACCGCAGAGGTAGATCATCGAGGTTCGGGGACGGACTTCGTATGGAAAAACAACGGGTTTCGTGCATCTGCCATCTCTCAAAAACGCATTTCGTGCGAGACTTCCTTCAAAACTCCATCGGCAACTCCTCCACCAGCACCACTGGCAATGCCATTTGCATTGCGGGAACGATCCTACAGTTACAAAGCACAATGGAATTCCATCGGCAACTCATCCACCAGCACCACTTGCAATCCCATTTACATTGCGGGAACGATCCTACAGTTGCAAATCACAATGGAATTCTGTCGACCGCACATGCACGAAAAACAGGTGAAACCCCATTTACAATGCGGAACCGATCCGACCATGATCCGACCATGATCCGACCACACACGAGACCGTCTCGCAACCGTCGCACCGCAGAGGTAGATCATTGAGGTTCGGGGACGGACTTTGTATGGAAAAACATAGGAATTCGTGCATCTGCTATCTCTCAAAAACACATTTTGTGCGAGACTTCCTTCAAAACTCCATCGGCAACTCCTCCACCAGCACCACTGGCAATGCCATTTGCATTGCGGGAACGATCCTACAGTTGCAAAGCACAATGGAATTCCATCGGCAACTCATCCACCAGCACCACTTGCAATCCCATTTACAATGCGGGAACGATCCTACAGTTGCAAATCACAATGGAATTCTGTCGACTGCACATGCACGAAAAACAGGTGAAACCCCATTTACAATGCGGAACCGATCCGAGAATGATCCGCCCATGATCCGCCCATGATCCGACCACACACGAGACCGTCTCGCAACCGTCGCACCGCAGAGGTAGATCATCGAGGTTCGGGGACGGACTTTGTATGGAAAAACAAAGGGTTTCGTGCATCTGCTATCTCTCAAAAACGCATTTCGTGCGAGACTTCCTTCAAAACTCCATCGGCAACTCCTCCACCAGCACCACTTGCAATGCCATTCTAACTCTTTCTTTGACTAACTCTTTCCCTGACATTCTAAAAGTTACAATTAACTCTGTCCCTAACTAACTCTTTCCCTCACTAACTCTTCCTTTGACTGGCTCTTTCCCTGACAGTCTAAAAGTGACAATTAACTCTTTCCCTAACTAACTCTTTCCCTCACTAACTCTTTCTTTGACTAACTCTTTCCCTGACATTCCACTTTCCCTCACTAACTCTTTCTTTGACTAACTCTTTCCCTGACATTCCAAAAGTCCGTAACACAGAAGTTTCTCTCCCTAAACTTCCCTTGATAACTACTATAACTACTATAACTAAACATAACTACTACGACTTCTAAATCACCAGAGCTGTTGATTTTTACAGGGTTTTAATGCCACATTGGGCTGATGTAGGTACAATGCGCCAAACTGCAGTGCAACGATGCATATTGCCTAGGCTGAAATCTGGAACACAACTAGAAAATATTATGGAAATCTAGTGAAAATGTGGATGTCATTCTTATTTATAAGTTAATAAGATGTTTGAACAAAACTTCTTCAACACACATTTGTTTTCACTAGATTTACTTGTAATGTGGCTGTGATTTACCCCTAATTTCTCTATCAAAAGACCCGTAACTTTTCTACCCACTCAAAGGAACACATTAGAAACGCAGCGTTTTTGTGCCACAAAACAAGAAACAAACAGTAGGTATTTGGGCTGTGGGGTGAGAAAGACCTGGCTTCGTTTATAAAAGTTCCATGGGCGGACAGCCGCATGTTTCAGCCAACAGAAATTTTGGATCGTTTACCCTGCCTTGTTCAGGTTCCAATGTAATTCATCATTTACAAGTAGCACAAACTCAGAAGATCAATTCCCCAGAATTTTGCCACCCCAGCAACCAAAAATTATGCCTTCGAAACAATAATTGAAGCACCAGAATGATGTGTTGGTCTCTTTAGTGATATGTAGCTTCCAGTAAATTACCATAGACCCTGCCAGATAGGGGTTAGACAATTAGTTTCCACTAAAAATCGATTATTTCTATGGTCCAACTGTTAATTTACCAGATCTGGTTGGTGGTATACCTACCCCTCTGAAAAACATGAAAGTCAGTTGGATTCATTATTCCCAAGATATGGAAAAACAAATGTTCCAAACCACCAACCAGAGATGGTAAACGCATTTTTCTTGGCCAAAAAAAACGGAAATCTTTTGAGGGTCACACAGGTCCAGTTTCAGGGGCCTGGACACATCGGGCGTCTCTTTGGCCCATGCTGTCCTAGGGCAAAGTCACCATATGGGGGTCTCAATGGTGGTACCTTAAAACCAGGTGGGAAAACCATGGGAAAATGGTGGGTTCCATAAATGGGGGATCCTCAAAAATGGATGGTTTATACTGGACAATTATTAGGAAACCTCCATATGGGTGTCTCTTTGGGATATCATCAGCAATATATCAGAACATCTTATGGGAAAATATATGGAATTTTATGGAAATTTATGAGATTGAGATATAACCAACTCTATTGGGGATATGGGTTTGTCTGAAAATGGAGTATACCCCCCAAATGGCAATTTTGATACGGGAAATGATGACTTATCAGTGGATTGTGGGGTATCGAATTTTCAGACGAACCCATACGGCTGTCTCTTTGGGATGCGAGAACTAAAGTTTTGTTGTCATGCCTCGTTTATGCCTATTTTGTCAGTTGTCTCGTTAAAGTTAAACAATTCAGGTCTTTTTGGAGCACTGGGGACCGGAGCGGCACGGGAATTTCACAAACAACTTGAATTTTCTGGAGGTCCCATGTTGTTTCTTCAACAAATGGGTACTGTTTCCCGTTTGAACATGCAATTGTGTGAAACCCCAATATGGTGGCCCTGAAACAACAGGAAGCAAGTGACTGGTTATTGAACCAGCAGAAAACATGACAAAAACACAAACTTGGAGATGGAATCATTTAAGCAACTGAAGCAGCAAACATGCTCATGGAACTAGTTGAAGAAACATTACCAACAGCACTTTGGGTATAAAAACACGCAGAGTGGCATGGTCTTTCCATCCAAGCCTGCTATCAGTTTCCCTGTAGGTCAAGTCTGATAAGAATGAGCCCGGTCAGCCGGTCAGCATTTGAATTTGGCATTGAGGTTGCTCCATGTACCCCAAAACCGATGTTTGTTTTTTCCCGATCCAGGAAGGAACCCAGGCAAAGAAAGCACCGCTGATCGAGTTCTGATCATTGGTAGCCAAACTTCTTGACGAAGATCCCTGGATTTACCGGAGAAACATTACTTAATTGCCTGCAATTCAAACAGACAGATAGACAGACAGACAGACAGACAGATAGATAGATAGAGAGATAGATAGATAGACAGACAGACAGATAGGTAGATAGATAGAGATATAGATAGAGATAGGTAGAGATAGATAGAGATAGATAAATAGATAGATAGAGATAGATAAGAGTTAGATAGAGTTAGATATAGATAGATATAGATAGATAGAGATAGATATAGATAGATGGATAGATAGATAGATTGATAAATTTAGATATAGATATAGATGTAGATATAGAGACAGATATTTACATTATTTACCCATCAATTCCAACAAAAACCTTGGTTTTTACATGGCGACAACTCCGTCCATTCGGGGGATGCCGTTGGCGAAGCTCCTGGAATCCGGCACCAGCTTCACATCGCTCCAGGTCACGGCTCCCACGACCTCCCGTTAGAATCAGGACATGGATATGATACAAGTAAATATATCATACTATCATATCATAGTATCATAATATCAAAATTACATCAAATATCAAATCTTAATATGTCATAGTAACATATCATATCGTAGTATCACAGAATCGAAAATATACATATTTATTATCAAAAAGCATGTTTATCATTTTATAAATATATCATAGTATCATATCATATACTTATTATTGCCTCTTCTACCTATATATATATTATATGCACTTATATGACCTTAAATGGGAATACCTCCGGATTATAAGTCATAGTTTTGGGTCCGTGGTAGATATCTAGAGTTGAGGTTGTAAACCAACATATAACTGATTACCATCCACTGTCATCAAACATGACTGGAACTACATGGGCATCTGCAAGGTGGTGTCCATCAGTTATAAGGTGGTTCTTAAAGCCCAATAAATATGGATATATCTACCATAAATCATAGTTAGCCTAGTTGTAAACCAACTTAGCAATCTATGGAAGGCCAGATTGATTGTATGTAATGTAATGTAATGTAAGGTAAGGTAATGTATGTACCTACGTAGGTATATGTAAATGTATACGTACATATACACTTGAAAATCATCAAGCTAAATGGCGAGTCTTCCAGCAAACCATGTTTGACTGACTACGAAATAATATGGGTATCTCCATTCTATAGATGCTATTGTATCAGGGTTGCTCTCTCACCATCCCAGGTACTTTTGATTAGTAACTGGGAAGTAGAGAGGTACAAAGATCCATGCGCAAGCCAAAAAGTGGCTATCATCCACTGCTTGTTCAAGCTTGTGATCCAACCCTGTGTGGCTTCTTATATTCCAAGTGCCAAGCATTTGCTGCATTGATTTGAAGGGCCGAGGACCGAGCCTACTACAAGCGCCTCGGATGATCCCTGAATAGACATGGTTCATGAGTGAGGTACACATCCCAATTTCTCCCAGCACATGTGCATATATGTATGCATAGATATAGAATATACAGTATACATATTATATTATATATCATATTATGAATCATATTATATATCATATTAAATCTACATTTAAAGTTTTTAAAAGTATACACATATCATCGAAGGAAGTTTAGAAGTCAAACTTCCGGCAATATGGAGAGATGAAAAGCAGAGCAGGGAAGAGGCATAGAGAAGAGAAAGATTAGAAGAGAAAGAGTAAGAAGACAGAAGATACAGATGCGCGAAAAGGTAGGAAAGTCGCGAAACACTGTGTTTTTCCAATGATTTGTGGCTCCGGAGGGTCGAAAAGTAGGCTCGCTAAAGCGGCGGGTGCGGAGCCAGCTGGCCGGATGAGAGATGAAAAAGTGCACGCCGTTGTGGCGCGAAGCACATTTCCAAGTCAAAATGTACAAAACACACCATTCTCGGACCACTTTTGGAAGTTGCGATGTTGAAAAAGTGGACGCCGTTGTGGCGCGAAGCACATTTCCAAGTCAAAATGTACAAAACACACCAGGTTCGGACCACTTTTGGAAGTTATGATGTCGAAAAAGTGGACGCCGCTGTGGCGCGAAGCACATTTCCAAGTCAAAATGTACAAAGCACACCATTCTCGGAGCACTTTTGGAAGTTGAGATGTCAAAAAAGTGCACGCCGTTGTGGCGCGAAGCACATTTTGAAGTCAAAAGTGTTAAAAACTGACGGTCTCGGACCACTTTTGGAGGTTCGGATGTCGAAAAAGTGTCGAAAAAGTGTACGCCGTTGTGGCGCGAAGCACATTTCGAAGTCAAAAGTGTAAAAAACTGAGGGTTTTGAGCCTTTTTCGACGTGAAGATGTCGAAAAAGTAGACACTGATTAACTTAACTAACTTGACTAACTTAACTACCCTAACTTCGACGACAACAGCAACAGCAACAGCAACAACAACAACAACAACAACAACCACAACAACCACAACAACCACAACAACCACAACAACCACAACAACAACAACAACAACAACAACACCAACCACAACAACTACAACAACAACAACAACAACACCAACCACAACAACTACAACTACAACAACTACAACAACTACAACTACAACAACTACAACTAGAACTACAACTACAGCAACTACAACAACAACAGCAACAACAACAACTACAACAGCTACAACAACAACTACAACTACAACTACAACAACTACAACAACTACAACAACAACAACTACTACTACAACTACACTACACAACAACTACAACCACACAACAACTACAGCTACAACTACAACAACAACTACAACAACTACAACTACTACAACTACAAAACAACTACAGCTACAACTATATAACTGCAAATACACTACACTAATTACATTACACCACAACTGCAACTCCACTACCCTACAACTACAACTACAGTTGCAGTACATCACACTACATCCAGCAGTTGTGGGTGAGGTGACCACTGCAACCATTGCAACCACTCCAGCAAACACAACTCCAACCACCTTTCGGTCAATCAGTGGCTTCGCTCTGCCATCCGTGATTCACAACAACCAACGTCTCCTATAGGTGTCCTATTCTGAAACTTCCGCCACCGCCTTGTGCGGTACTACTGGTATATCTATAAAAAGAGTAACACAGCAAACAAGTTGATTGAGAGTCTGAGCGTGCAGTTAGGCTTCTTTTTTCAGACGACGTTCCATGCCGGGGGAGTACAGAAATGTGTGAATTTAAACAATGTTAATGGATTTCAACAAAAAGGTGTTGACCGGGTTTTAAGTGACTTAAATGAGAATATATACACGCGACATACAATGGGGATATGTGACCAACAAATGGATGCTTGAGTGTCTGAAAATAGGGCAATTCATCTTCAATTGTGGCAATTCAATAGGCAAAGTGACAAAGTGATGATAAACGGTGGAATTTTAGGGGTAGCCAATTTTCAAAGCCATGCGAAGGTTCAATTCACGACCATCTACTTTGCCCTGGCTTTCTGATCAAATTCTGCCATCAAAGGTAGCGATTTTTGGTTGGCAGCACCCAGGGCCCCGTTGTCTCATGAGACGATTTCATCATATTTCGTTCAATAAAACAAGCATCACCCAGCTTGAAGCCTTACAACACACACGTGGAGGACTTTATGGGGACAAATGCTGGGACCCCGGAAGCTTATGGGAACCGGCGTATAATCCTTTCACAGAAACGGCCCAGGTGATCCCCAAGAACTGGGTTCACTTCTGGACCCAGAGGGAAGTACTTTTCATAATGAAACCTTTGAAACGCTCCAGTACATTAACATAGACCTTGGCAGACAAGGGTTTGAAGTTTAGAACATCCCTAGCTGCAAACCCAAATCTGGAATATGTTCCAAAAGACGTTCTAACATTCACGTTGTCGCTATAGTTTCTACTCAACATTGGTTATTTTCAGGGTTCCAACTGTTAATTTACCCAGAGAGTATACCTTATCATTTATTTATTACCATTAACCATCATTTACCAACTATTTATCCATTACTACCATTCTTGAACACTTGTTTCACCAGAAGGTGAAGATCAAAAAGGCAAGCGAAGCTCCATATCCCGGGCCGCGCATCAGAAGCGAAGCCTTCACATCGGCGGAATCCAAGGCAATCACCCGCAAGCCTCCAACCTGCAAGCCCAGTCCCCATATCCGTGGCGATTTAAACTTGGCCTTAGCACCGTTTATTTTTTTGAATTGGGATAAATTTAACCAATATCACTATAATATTGAATATTTCAACTTTTGAAAGGTTTCTTGGAAAGATCATGGAAAAAAAGCACGGGGTGAACCACCCAAAATAGGAAATAGAGCAACAAATGAGGAAGAGCCAATTAAGGATGACTAAACCATGTCAAGTAGCCATTGCAGAATATTGAACCCCGTTTCTGATTGTTAACCGCCCATTAATCTATTCAAATGTCGAACCACAAGAGTTCGGTGAAGAAGGTAGGATGGTTGCAGGAACCTTGGGGCCATTTAATGGGAGGAGACCGCAATGCCTGCTTGATAGGTTTGGGGTCTTGATAGGAATGGGTCATGGTCGTCTAAGAACCGGCGACCCGCAAATGAATAATTTGCTACGCAAGAGACCAATGGTGCCCCGTAGTTTGCGAAGTTGGTCTTCAATAACTTTTACGGAAGATGAATCGATAGTTAATGGAGGTTAAAATCAGAAATCCACCTTATAGCCGGGCGCCCACTGGAGGAACAAGTTCATGTTACAATGAAATGAGAAACAGTCTGCAAGTCCAAGGCTGATGAGCAACGAACATGGGGATGTAGGGGCTGTATACTTCACCTAACTTGCCGGACTTCTCTTTTTTGCCTTCACATGCGCATAGACATATCTGAACTCATCTTGGACCCCGGAGCTGTCGCCACCACGGCCTGGCATGCCCCATGTCACCACGACTCCATTGGCCAAAATCCCAGCAAAAGCACCGCCTGTGGCAGAAATCTCCGCAACCTTCCTGAGCTGAAATTGGACTCTGGAGCTGTCGCCACCGCGTTGCGGATCACCCCAGGTGACCACAGTTCCATCCGCCAAGACCGCAGCAAAAGCACTGCGTGTGCCAAAAATCTGCCGAACATTCCGAAGCCGATCTCGCACCGCGGAGCTGTCGCCGCCAACGTCAGCATCATTCATGTCACCACAGTTCCATCACCCAAAGCTACAGAAGCGGTGCAACTGATTTGCTGGGCATTTCTCAGCTGGTCTTGCACTCTGGAGCTGTCACCGCCATAGTCTGGACGGCCCCATGTCACCACGCTTCTGTCTTCCAAAATGGCAGCAAAAGCAACGAGTGTGCCACAAATCTGCTGGACATTCCTGAGCTGATGTTGGACTCTGGAGCTGCCACCACCAACAAATTGAATGCCCCAGGTCACGGCACTTCCATTTGCCAAAATGGCAACAAAAGCACCGCCCGTGGCACAAACCTGCTGAACATTCTGAAGCTGATCTTGGACTTCGGAGCTGTTACCACCATGGGATTCATCGCCCCAGTTCACCACGCTTCCATCTGCCACAACTGCAGCAAAAACACGGAGTGTGCCACAGAGCTGCTGCACATTCTGCCGCTGTTCTTGCACTCTGGAGCTGCACGGTGTGGACCGCCGCATGTCACCACCGTTTTATCTGCCAAAATGGCAGCAAAAGCATTGTGATTAAACCTGCTGAATATTTCGCAGCTGATTTTGCCCTCTGGAGCTGTCACCGCCATGGTCTGGCAGGCCCCACGCAACAATTCTGTCTCTTCCAACACACCACAAAGCAAACGCACACCAAGATGCAGCTATCTTTGGCCGCTGAGCAACAGCAGTAAGGCTGTCACCGGACAAGCAACGAGTTTCTGTTGGATCCGAAAGGCGCCCGCCCATCGGGGGCAGCAAGCCTCAGGAAGGGTTGCCGCAAAGACTTCTGCGCAGCTAATTTCAAGTCAGCAACGGTGCCAGACAGCGAGACAGCGAGAGTTTCACAGCGTGCACTCGGCAGGGAGACCTCAAGGTCGATTGGGAAATCAGCCATCTGAGGACTGCCATGCCCGGTACTACCGCGGCCAACCAGTTTCGCTTCTGGTTTCATGATCTTTTTCCAAGAAAATTGTTGATTTTACAGGAAACAATGGGAGTATATGGGATTCATAATGGGATGCAAAATGGGTTTCAGAATTTGGACAAATAGCCCGAAAAATGACAGTGAACTCACAACAAATGAAGTGACGACTCCGTGGACGCATTTCCCATGATTTGCCCTCCATGTTGTGGATGAACGCCTTTCAAGCAGGCATCTGTTGGACATCTCATCACCACCCCTGAGCCCAAAAAAAGGATCTTGGCCCTCATCAACCCAATGGAAAACAAAAAACTATGATAGCCTCCGGTGCAAAATCGAACATAGCCTGCTGGAATATCCGGAATATCCTCTATTTGTGGAAGATTTTCCGAACTGTCGACACCTGCATGGCTCTGTCCGAGGATTTCCTATGTTTTCCCATGATATTCTGATGATTTTCCCATGTTTCAAGGAATTTTCATTGATTACCCAAGTTCACTGAACTTCACCAGGGTCAACTGCTCACCTCCTCGAAAAGATACGCATGCCACCTGGGTACCGGCTGGATGATACAGAAGCAGCATGGCAATGGTGAACTGGGAAGCACAATATTCTCCTCAGAGTTCAAGCCCTTTACCACTTATTTTTATGGCTATAAATAAGGCTATCAGTCCATAAATGGGTTGACTTACTGACTTGTAACTGGCAAACAATTGTATAACTCATGTAAGAAATAGAAATATAACTCTCGGCATTTTCACAGTTTGGTATGGAAAACTAACATTTTTTGATAGGTGAATCATAAATGGGCCATTTTCATTGTGGTAAACCGAATAATAACCAATCCCCAAACTTCCCATAAGTGGGTGGTATAAATCATCGCAGCTGGTAGGTTTATTATGGGGTTTCCCACATTATGTATCATTATATACGATAGATCTGTAACTGTATGTTTTACCATCATCATGTGGAGGTTTCCCAAAATATGGCTACACCAAACCATTGCTTTTCCCATTGATTACATCATATAATAACCAATTCTAGATTTTTAGGAAACCTCCATACCCCCATTCAATGAGATTTCCATGGCTTGATGTTCAACTAATCCCTTCCCCCTATTACTAAGCCCCCCCAAATAATAAAAACTAGGATGAATCTCCAATTTTGGAAAATTTCAGGTTGGCCAATTTGTCTTTTAATTGATCCCCTTTAGAAAACAAGTTAAAAATAAAGCTACCATTTGTGGGTTTTGCCACCAAATAATAAAAAATAGTTAATCCCGAGGTGTTTATTATAAGGGTCCGTGGAAAACTTTAATTCTTTATATTAGAGCTTTTAATTCATTATTAGAGCCCGCCCGAAATCTAATTTTCGGCAACATTTTAATTGCGTTAGTAAAGGAAATTTAATTGATTTTGGAATCGAAACAAAAAGTATTTTTTATTAAACGTTTCAATTTATTATTAGGGACCGCTTCGAAATCCAATTTTTGGCAATATTTTAATTTCGTTAGAAAAGGAAATGTAATTGATTTTGAAATCGAAACAAAAAGTATTTTTTTATTAAAGCCTTCAACTTATTATTAGGGACCGCTTCGAAATCCAATTTTTGGCCATATTTTAATTTCGTTAGAAAAGGAAATGTAATTGATTTTGGAATCGAAACAAAAAGTATTTTTTATTAAACGTTTCAATTTATTATTAGGGACCGCTTCGAAATCCAATTTTTGGCAATATTTTAGTTGCGTCAGTAAAGGAAGTTTAATTGATTTTGGAATCGAAACAAAAAGTATTTTTCCCGAGAGCGCCTGCGAAGGGTTCTTCGTAAAAAAGCAGCCGTTATACTACATCTTCACACCTTCACATCTGCTGATCTACATCTTCACACCCTCACACCTGCTGATCTAGATCTTCACACCCTCACATCTGCAGATGTACATCTTCACACCTTCACACCTGCTGATCTACATCTTCACACCCTCACACCTGCAGATCTACATCTTCACACCCTCACACCTGCAGATCTAGATCTTCACACCCTCACAGCTGCAGATCTACATCTTCACACCCTCACATCTGCAGATCTAGATCTTCACAGCCTCACACCTGCAGATCTACATCTTCACACCCTCACATCTGCAGATCTACATCTTCACACCCTCACATCTGCAGATCTACATCTTCACACCCTCACATCTGCAGATCTACATCTTCACACCTTCACATCTGCAGATCTACATCTTCACACCCTCACAGCTGCAGATCTACATCTTCACACCCTCACATCTGCGGATCTACATTTTCACACCTTCACATCTGCAGATCTCCTCTCGCTCTTCTTCAATTCTCTCTTAAGGCGGGGGCGGTGCCGCCGGAGCGCCACGAAACGCAACCCTTTCGCACGAAATGGACGTTGGACGTCCAAAACCTAGGTAAAATTGCCCTTTCGCACGAAATGGACGTTGGACGTCAAAAACTGAGGAAAAATTGCGACTTTGAGGTGTCGCGCGCAACCCTTTCGCACGAAATGGACGTTGGACGTCAAAAACTGGCGTCCCCGGCAACCCTTTCGCACGAAATGGACGTTGGGCGTCAAAAACTGCGGAAAAATTGCGACTTTGAGGTGTCAATCGCAACCCTTTCGCATGAAATGGACGTTGGACGTCAAAAACTGAGGAAAAATTGCGACTTTGATGCGTCGCGCGCAACCCTTTCGCACGAAATGGACGTTGGACGTCAAAAACTGAGGAAAAATTGCGATGGACGCTTTCGTTTGTGTAAAAGTGTCTGTGTGTAAACGCCTCTATGTGTATAAGCGTTTGTGTGTAAAAGTGTCTGTGTGTAAAAGCGTCTTTGTCTTGAAGTGTCCGTGAAGCATCTGTTTGTAAAAGCGTTTGTGTGTGAAAGCGTGTGTGCGTGTGTAAAAAGCATCTGCGTGTAAAAGCGTCTGTGTAAAAGCGTCTGTGTGTAAAAGCGTCTGTGTGTAAAACCGTCTGTGTGTGAAAGCGTGTGTGCGTGTTTAAAAAAGCGTCTGCGTGTAACAGCGTCTGTGTGTAAAACCGTCTGTGTGTAAAAGCTTTTGTGTGTAAAAGCTTTTGTGTGTAAAAGCGTTTGTGTGTAAAGGCTTTTGTGTGTCAAAGCGTCTGTGTGTCAAAGAGTGTTTGTGTAAAAGCACCATGTGTAAAAGCGTTTGTGTGTAAAAGCTTTTGTGTGTAATTTTTGGTTTAAAAGGCTTTTACCGCACGACATGGAACTGTTAGAGATTGAGGGTGAAAATGCTTGCTAGTGCATCCGTGCTAGGACGTGTGGAGCTCGGTTCGTTTAGTTGAAGGGAGAGTGATGATGCTTGGGCACGTGTAGACATTTCAATTGATTGTGTCGTTCACTACAGCAATACAACTGCTTTCGATGGTGCGCGCTACACCAAGGTTGAGACCACACAACGATGCTGTTGTTTGGACGAGTGTCGCTCAATGACAGAGTATGGTCCTGAACTCAAACTTTTTGTTTTGAAATCAAGCATGTCATGGCATTGTTTTGTTTTGAAATCAAGCATGTCATGGCATTGTTTTGAAACCAAGCGAACAGATATGCATGTCTCGGAATTTCTGAATGCAAAATGTTTGGTTCAAGTCACGCACCGTGACGTTTGTGGACGTTTTGTGGTCGCTGTTTCATTTGCTGAAGGGAATGTCCGTGCGAATGGAGCATGCGAGCGCGTCGTCCGCGTCGTCCGATGCCGTGGAAATTCGGTTGCAGGAGCTGCGTAGCAGTGCTGTGACCAGGGGTCGTGAACGGCTCCAGGATGCCCTGGCAGAAATTTCTGTAATGGAGCTTCGCAAAATGGCACATGCTCGGAATGTTGGCCGTGGACCGGACAAGAAGTGGCCTGCGGTTGGAGAGCTGCGCGCTCGATTGCTGGATGTCTTGGCACCACGCATGCAGGTCCGGTGGGGCAGAATAGGATTATGACGAAAGTTGCATGTTTGTCACATGGTGCAATGTTGTAGGATGATTGTTGTTTTGTGGTGGCAGTGTGTCGGATGCTGTAGGTGGACGAGGCATCCGCTGCCAAATTGGAAGAACTTCGCTTAGGAGCTGTTTCACAGGGCAAGGAGTGGCTCAGTCGTTCTTTGTCGGAAATACCAAAAAACGAGCTTCGAGTCCTGGCTGGTGCGGGTGGTGTGGTGACACATTCCAACCGGAATTGGTTGCCTGTAGCAGAGCTGCGCAGCTCCTTGATGAAAGTCTTGGAACCCGCCACGGAGGTTGGGTTCAACCAAAAATGTGTTTTGACCGGGGTTGTTTTTGTGAACGAATTTGAATGTTTGTCACATGGTGCAATGTTGTAGGATGATTGTTGTTTTGTGGTTGCAGTGTGTCGGATGCTGTAGGTGGACGAGGCATCCGCTGCCAAATTGGAAGAACTTCGCTTAGGAGCTGTTTCACAGGGCAAGGAGTGGCTCAGTCGTTCTCTGTCGGAAATACCAAAAAAACGAGCTTCGAGTCCTGGCTGGTGCGGGTGGTGTGGTGACACATTCCAACCGGAATTGGTTGCCTGTAGCAGAGCTGCGCAGCTCCTTGATGAAAGTCTTGGAACCCTCCACGGAGGTTAGGTTCAACCAAAAATGTGTTTTGACCGGAGTTGCTTTTGTGAACGAATTTGGATGTTTGTCACATGGTGCAATGTTGTAGGATGATTGTTGTTTTGTGGTTGCAGTGTGTCGGATGCTGTAGGTGGACGAGGCATCGGCTGCCAAATTGGAAGAACTTCGCCTAGGAGCTGTTTCACAGGGTAAGGAGTGGCTCAGTCGTTCTCTGTCGGAAATGTCAGCTCGTCAGCTTCGAGTTCTGGCTGCTGCGGGTGGTGTGGAGACACGATCCGACAAGGCTTGGCTGCCTGTAGCAGAGCTGCGCAGCTCGTTGATGAAAGTCTTGGAACCCGCCACGGAGGTTGGGTTCAACCAAAAATGTGTTTTGACCGGAGTTGTTTTTGTGACCGAACTTTAATGTTTGTTACATGGTGCAATGTTGTAGGATGATGGTTGTTTTGTGGTGGCAGTGTGTCGGATGCCGTAGGTGGACGAAGCATCGGCTGCCAAATTAGAAGAACTTCACCTTGGAGCTGTTTCAGAGGGTGAGGGGTGGCTCCGTCGTGCTTTGTACGAGATAGGAAGAGACGAGCTTCGAGTCCTGGCTGCTGCGGGTGGTGTGGAGACACATTCCAACCGGAATTGGCTGCCTGTAGCAGAGCTGCGCAGCTCGTTGATGAAAGTCTTGGCGGTTTCCACGGAGGTTGGGTGCAACAAAAAAAACGGCATCATGGTACCGATGTTTTTTGGGCTATTTATGTGGGATTTTCCATACAAACATGAAATAACATATGTCGTGCACGGCATCATGGTACCGAGCTTTTCTCGGCCATTTATGTGTGATTTTCTACACAAAAATGAAATCATATGGTATTGGACCTTTTTTTGTGTGCAAACGTATGCAGGCATATCAGTAGTGAAGTATTGTCACACGTGTGATTTACAGTCTCATGGTACTGATCTTTTTGGCCCATTTTCGTGGTATTGTCCATACAAAAATGAAATAACACGTGCCATTTCTGGGGCCATTTGCACTATGGTACTGAGCCTGGTCTTGTGCGATTTTTTAGCATTTCCATTGCAACTGACTATGTTTGTGCACCTTTGTTTGCAACTGAGGTCACCCAGTGGTGCCGCGCTTTGTGAGCGTCTGTGTGTAAAAGTCCTTGTGGAAGCGTCTGTGTGTAAAAGCGTTTGTGTGTGAAAGTGTCTGCATGTAAACGTCCCTGTGTGTAAAAGTGTCTGTGTGTAAAAGCGTCTGTGTGTAAAAGCGTCTGTATGTAAAAGTGTTTGCGTGTAAAAGCGTCCGTGTGTAAAAGCGTATGTGTGTAAAAGTGTTTGTGTGTAAAAACGTCTGTGTGTAAAAGGGTCTGTGTGTAAAAGCGTCTGTGTAAAAGCGTATGTGTGTAAAAGCTTCTGTGTGGAAAAGTGTCTGTGTATAAAAGTGTCTGTGTGTAAAAGTGTTTGCGTGTAAAAGTGTCTGTGTGGAAAATGCGTCTGTGTGTAACGGCTTCTGTGCAAAAATTCATCTTTAATGTATTGTCTTGTAATATAGTGTCTCAATACTAACAACAGAAGACCCTGCTCTCTCTCTCCCTCTCTCTCGTCTCCCCCTCTTTCTCTCTCTCCGTCTCTCTCTCTCTCTCCCTCTCTCTCCCCCTCTCCCTCTCTCTCTCTATCTATGTCTCTCTGTGGTTGCACGTCACGTGTCATACGATGCCCTTTACCAAGCAGCACAGTGCATGTGCATAGGTTGTCACATGTATCCTCTTCTTCATCAATCTTACTTTTCACAACTTATCCCTCCATAGCTCATATACAATTCACCAACCATTCATCGACTATTTTTTACGACTACCATACTCAGAGCAGCTTGAAAAACGTCTTTTTCGCTCTCGGGCCAACCGTCGTCTAGTTTTATTAAAGGCTTCAATTTATTATTAGGGACCGCTTCGAAATCGAATTTTTGGCAATATTTTAATCGCGTTATATAAGGAAATTAAATTGATTTTGAAATCGAAACCAATAGTTTTTATTTAAGGTTTCAATAAATACTAACCTAATAATAAAAAGTACCTGAAGTGTTTACTATTTTGGGAAGGGGCTTAGTATCAGGGAGAAAGGATTTTTTTTTCCTCCCGCGCTCCTTTTTGGGTTCCTGCACGTCAGTTAGGCCGCGACACGCAGTGGCATCCGGCTAGGGCCCTCTTGTGGGGCGAGGGCTAGGACAGCGGCCAAGGAAGGCGCGTCCTCGGCAGCCTGGGGGTAGAGCGGGCCGCCAAGCGCAGTTGTGGCGAGTGCCCGTTGGACGGCTGTGCTGAGGATGATGGACCACCACCTGCGGCGCCAGCCAGCCGCGGCTGCAGCGCGGAGGGCAACAGGAGTGCGCGGTACGCGCGCAGCGACGAGGTGGCCGATCAAGTCAAGCCTATTGACCACGCTGATAGGAGGTATCGAAGATGGCTTCAAATTGAAGCTTTGTGTCGGCTCTTTCAATGCCAACAGCTCCAAAGCGCAAATGACTAGAGCTCCACGATACACAAATCGTCCATGAGATGATTCCATCGCGCTACAAAGGCAGCTTTGTGGTACCACAGGATGTGGAGGAATTTTCACTTCAGAAAAAGTTCCCAGCACCACTGCATGATCTGCCAACACTTGACCCGTCATGCTTTCACTCTTGGAGTTTGCTAGCTGAGGAGGCACCCCATGAACCACTCCTCCAACTGGAGCATAGGCACCGCTAGTGTACATCTCACAAGGCATACTAAACTTCCGCACACAGCGGTCATTGATCGATAGCACCTGGTTTCCACGGCAACGGCCGAAGAAAGATCGATGCCATCATCCACCAAGCGTGACAAAACATTTGGGATGTCCATGAATCCACCAGCAGTCCAACATGGTGGATCGGAGCTCAGTCCAAGAGTAACGTCTCCATCCAGGGCATGGAAACCGAAAGGAAGCGGCTCGGAGACACCAGCGCTAAGAGTCGGTAACACTGGCTGACCAAAAGCAAATGGCCTAAAGACCGTTGCCGTGCTCGGTCCCGCCATCTCTTCTGCTTGATCCAAAACATTACCCATGCATACACATACTGATAAAACCAATAGCACGCGGTATGCTCATTCACAAACAAACAGCCACACACGCCCCAATGCTAAACAACCCTAACCTTTTTCCTCAATGCTCATCGTCAAACTACTGGCGCCACCCTACCTCACATTCATGCCTCTTCATGGCACAGTGGGCCCTGAGTGCCCAGAACTCTTGAAGCAGCGAAGGCATCCCTCTGTTTTACACTGATCGATACCACTTTCTGAATGGACTGCAGACTCATGTCCCATCAGCTCCGCACGCGTCGCATAAGTGTTATGAAGAATACTATCACAGAGCACACAGCGCAATGGCCCACAGTACTGCTTTGTTGTAGGTGCCGGCAGCCAGTACGTAACCATGTCAGTTATGCCCTCAACGACGAACCATAAAAACAAAAATGGCTGCGACATCCAAACCACGCTCCACACCGTGTCATCCTCGCCCTGGGGCTGCTGAGCCTGCTCCCAAATGGCCACCTTGAGCATCAGCGCCCTTTCTCCCACCCCGCCCGTTGGGCAGGGAGACGGCGATCACCCAGGCGGCCGCATGGATGAGGATGCTCATGATGACTGCAAAGGAGGTGGTCGGGGACCACCCGCGACAGGAGCCGAGGCGGAGCACCTTCCCTGTCCCAGCAACGGCACCGGACCTCGCAGGGCGGGTCTGTGACCTGCCGTGTGCTGCTGCATCGACACAGGGTCTCCTGCGCGGTCTCCCACCGGCGTACGAAACACCATGGTCGCGGTCAAAGCTCCGCGGACGCGGCGATCCACGCCCACGAAATCGACTACCAAGGCAAGGACTGCGAAGGGAAGGACCATTCTGCGCACTTCTATCGGGGGAGAGTGGAGAGTAGCTGGTGCCCTGTGTGCTTCGAGCCGGAAAGCTTGTGTTTGTGGTGTGTCTTGTTCCGTCTCCGTGCATCTCTCTCTCTCTCTCTCTGTCTCTATCTCTCTCTCTCTCCGTCTCTCTCCCTCTCTCTCTCTCTCGATTTTCAGTAGCTATGTGAAACCACCAGAGGGTAAGGGGTAAACTCATATAAAAATGCAATCCAGCTCCCAACATGTCCCAAGCATTCCCATGCAATCCCTATGTTCCAGACCTTTGCTGTCTCGACTTTGATTGGCCATGGCGCTAGCTAAGTGGTATATATACATCCCTTACTATATCCCCTAGTACATCCCCATAGTCTCCCCATCAAAATAGTTGGCTTTCTTCACCATTACTTTTAACTCTTTGAAGCTCTTTTGACCCTCATTGCAACATATCTGGTGCAAAAATCTGACCTAGTATTTCTTCATTTTAAAGTGCTGACTACTTTTTAAAAGCATATTATATTGCATGCCTTTTTCGCTGCAGAGTGCGGAAGTCTGTGCACAAACCCCTAGCCATTGCGGTTATGTTGGCAAGGACCAAGGAAGACAGAGATATTATCTTGCTGTTGTACGCTTTATAAATGGTTTTGTCTTAGGATAGGGTACTAGGTACCCCCAAAAAATCCAATTGCCTATCATGAGCATCTTTTCTACAACAATTGCCATGACTGGGGGCAAACCTCATGTTCAAACATCACCCAAAAAATATGTCCTCGCCATATCTCACTGTCTCCATACCTTCCCTATTCTATACCAATTCATAGATGTTTGTTCAAACAATCCCCAATCGCAAAAATGCCGCAACGATGAAATCCCCACGTTTTTACCGCTCCCTTTTCCCGTGTTTGATGCTTGCGTTAAACGAAAAAACACATTTTTTGATCTTGAAATCACCATCTGGATAATCAATCCGGCAATATCAGCTACAAAGCAAAATCCCATTCCCCGATCCAGACAACAACACCCAGATTGTGTCCCAAAATATATACAATATAGTCCAAATATATATATATATACATATCCCAACAAAAACCATGGTTTCAGAGTGTTTCCGGGCGGTCTGGAATTTTTTTTTGGATGTCTCGGTCGCCGACCCCGTCCCTGCCAGTGGGTCCAAAAGGCCCTCGGCACCAAGGCGGTTCAGCTCGTGGCTCACCTGGCGATTAGTAGCTGGGAATGTTTCAAGATGGAGATTCCTATAGTGATGGATGTTCATTCCCGTTATATATACATATATAATCCCCGTGTGGTGCCAGGGGGAGGGATGGGACCCCTAAAAAAATAAAAAAAATGCAAGGGCCTAAGAACAACATGTAAATAAAATGATAGGGCATAAGGTAAGATAGGATAATCCAAGCAAGACACACTGGACAGGTACTAAGAGAATATGACGTCGGGGCCCCTCACACCTGGCAACTGTTGGACGTGGGGCCCCGGCATTTTTTTCTCTGGGTTGATCTTGTTTTCTTATTCGAATTGTTTTAATCATGTTTGAACTTTTTGCTTGCAAGTATATCCACAAAATGTTGAACGTGTTTGAGGTTGTTAATAAAAAAGAATGTTATTCAAAGAAACAATCTGAACACATGTGGATTTTTCATTTAACTAACTGATAGATAGAACATAACCTTCAAAAGTCAAATAACCTAATAGTTAGGAATTAGCATAACCAGAGCTTCAGGAGACAAGTGTTGCATGCTGGCAGCCACGGGTGTTTTACCTCAGGCCCTGTGATTTTATTTTATATACATACCGTTGTGGGTGCCATCTCCATCCTGTTTGATAGCCCCTAGCTGTCAGTTAAGTTTATGGGTAAGGCACCTCAAAAGATAAAATGCACCCCCCCAAAAAAATCTGGGGTCTGACAACATTTTATTTCAGAAATCCTTCGAATTTGATCGATTTTTATATTTTTCTAGGGGTTCTAGCCCCCACACTCTCTTGGGGCACACCATAGGATCATATATATATATCACTATGTCTCTCTCTCTTTTTTTTCCTCTCTCTCTCTCTATATATATATATCACGCTGTCTATATTATATATATGGATTGTTGAAGAAACATCTAGATCTTTGATATGGGTATTAAATTGATGTGCTTGATGAATTTATCTACTGCATTGATAAAAATAACCGCATAATATCTAGATCTTTATACAACATATCAGATCTGAGAGTTGGAGAACTCCTGAAGAATCCCATGTCTGTTCCTGATTCAGTTTCAGAGGTCTATTCTTGGAGCCCAGGGTGTGGTTTTTCTACAGCTGATGGCAAAGAGATTGGAGGGTTTTGCACAAAGTGGTCAGTGAAGTGAAACTTCTCACTGACGCACTGGAAAATTCACAGTTTGCTGGCTGGTGAATCACCATTGTTAATAGGTAAATCATAAAAACATCGACTTCTATGGGCCATTTTCCAAAGACACGTCAAAAAATGTTGAATAACTAGAGGGTCTTTTGCACCAAACAGAGTGAGACCAAATGCTTGGCGAGCCCCTTTTTCACACCTTTCAAGGTGATATGTCTAATCTCATCAGACTCAGACAGGATGCCATCCCCAAAGTGAATTGTTGGGTTTACCATATGGCTCGAAAGCGCCATCCAGTCTGATTGTTGATATGCCCTGTGGTGATTTCACAAAACCGTAGAAATGGTTGCATTTTGTCAGGATTTACTCAGAAGAAATCGCTATTGTCCATTAGCTCTTTGTAAAAAACAACTGTTTGATATTTTCTCAGTAGTATGACATTTCTATGGAAAATAACTCGTTTATAGATGATTTAAATGATTTACCTATTAACAATGGTGATTTCCCATAGTTACGTTAGATTACCAAAGGGCACACACACATCATCCCATGCTTCTTGGAGATCATCTAGCCATATCTTGTGCCTCCGCGACCGTCTTTTCCGTCAGAACGCCCCAGGAAAAGAGGCCACAAATGTAGTACCTGAAAGGATGATATGGGCCAATCAATTGGAGGTTTCCTAAGTCATAGGGGGATCATCCCCAAATCATCTATTTATAAAGGGTTTTCATGGATTTTCAATTATAAACCATCCAGTTGGGAGTATCCCCATTTATGGAAGCACCCAATTATCAAATTGCTCATTTCAGGTACTACATCTGTGTCAATCATGAGACTGATCAAAGAATGGGCCAATGATGGGCCAATGATAAAATAATGATAGCCTGGATTAATTCTCAAATATCTCATATATAAATAAATAAATATATATATATAAAATATATTATATATTTATCGCTAACCCTGGATTTAAGATCAATAAAATTGAACAGAATAGATTGCTATCATGTGGTTGGGAAAGTCTTAGTAGCATCAACTGGCTCTCCATTGCATGGAGAAAATCGACAACCACAGCTCCTTCATCACTGGATACACTACATGCAGCTCAGTGAAAAATTGAGCGAAGAAAGGGTGCACGTTTCTTTTCTTTTTTCCCCAAACAGTGTGGCCACACTGAGGGGTTCTTACGGTAACAGTTAAGGCCCGGTGTTCAATCGAGGTGGTATCCGTCGCGTTGGGCATTTTCCCTGTAAATTTCTAAACGAAATGGCTCTTGTGAAATGTCCATGTGCATTTCGACTGCGCAGGCTCACACATCCACATCATCATCATCATCATCATCATCACATGATCATCATCACATGATCATCATCATCATCATGATCATCATCATGATCATCATCATAATCAAAATCATCATCACCATGACAACCATCATCAACATCACCATCATCATCATCATCATCATCACC